TCTTAACCATCGCGCCACTCGGCCGGCCCTGTACCACAGTTTCTTAATCCAGTCGTCTACTGATGGGCATTTCAGTTGTTTCCAAGTCTTGGCTATTGTAAATAGCACTGCAATAAACATAGGGGTGCATATATTTTTTTGAATTAGCGTCTTGGGTTTCTCTGGATAGATACCCAAGAGTGGAATTGCTGGGTCATACAGTAGTTCCACTTCCAGTTTTTTTGAGGAAACTCCAAACCATTTTCCACAGTGGCTGCACCAATCTGCAGTCCCACTAACATGCACCAGCGTTCCCTTTTCTCCACAGCCTCACAAGCACTTGTTGTTTGTTGATTTATTGACGATAACCATTCTGACTGGATTCACAAAAATTTTTAAAGCATCTGCTGTCACATTAATCCCATCCTTCTCTGGCCTTTTGGGCTTGTGTCAACACAACATAATTGAATTCTTACTTGTTCTCTAATTGCTTCATACATGTTCATGAGTGCCTATCTCCAATCCTGTGGAAAGCATCCTGTTCCAGGGCCATAGAATCTACCACAGGCTGTGCACACTCTGGGCATTTGTACATTGTGGCTTCCTCTTTTCTCCTGTCCTCCGACAGTGAAGCCTCACTCTCTCTGGAAGAGATCAAGACAGAAGAAATGGTCAGCAGAGCTTCTTTCTCCATCCCAGAGGGCCCCGGGTTCGGGAATAAACACAGCATCCTGACTGTCTCCGTTTCCTTTTCTGGGTCGTTCATGTCACCTTCAGTTACCCAGAGACCCTGTGGGTGGGGCAAGTATGAAATGAGGCTGGAAGTTCAAGAACCATTCCCTGATGATGAACTAAGACTGGTGCCACTAGCCCACCCTCAGAATGGGTAGAGATGAGGAAAATAATTTTCCAAAGCATCCTCTAAAATTCAGCTCTCTCACAGACAGATTAGAACATAGTCTTTTGGAAAACAGGAAGGGTCTTGGCATTCAGAACCCCAGAGATTTTACTAGACCTGGGAAAACATGACCGTTGTTTTTTGCTGCTGAGGGTGATGTGACTCTGAAGGTGGCATTTAGACGACACCCCTGGTGTTGGACAAGCCTGATTCATCTGCGATGATACAACTTCCTAAGTAAGACTGCCTGACAAGAGGCAGGGCTCCAGGGAGCCAGGCAGCTAAGGAAATTTACTGTGTGTTGTAGCCATGGAAAGTGGAATTGGATCTGGGTGATAATCAGCCTGATTAGCTCAGTGCCTCCTGGAGAAAGCTGAGGGTAGGAGGCAGTGTGGGGTGGAGGTAGGGAGAGAGGTCAACCAGCATCCAGGTGGAACCCCAGGGGCTGGGGTTGGCGAAGGTCAAAAACAACTGGGACACGGAGAAGTATATAGAGCAGCAGACCCAAAGAAAACAAGCCTACCACCCAGTCGCACAACTGTGGGAGTTAGGGTGGGTCAGAGCTCCCAGGGAAATGCAGGCATGGGGGGTAGGGAAGCCAGGAGTGAGGGTAAGGACAGTGGGCAGAGCTGGGGTGCCCATAGCAACTCCTTACTGGGTGCTGGCTGAATGGCAGGTGCTGGCTGAATGGTAGGGACTGGCCTGGTTAAAAACCCAAGACCTGCCATCAGCAGCCTTCTCTCAGCCCTCTCAGACTCAGCTTCTGTGGGGAGTGCCAGGCATGAGCAGAGCTCACTGGTGTTGATCTTGGTGGCAGGTCACAAGGTTCTTGAAGGGCAGCTGCAGAAAACCCTGCAGCTCTGGTTTGTGGGGTAGAACTGCATGCAGCCTGATGGTTCTGCCCTCTGACCACCCCCATTTCTATAGGACTAAAATTTTGAATTTGGGGAAAGAGGGCCTATAATGCCTGGTGAAGACTGAGTGATTTTGTTCTCCATGACAGTTACAGGCTGCTGATGGGTCTCTGCCACGTGTTATCTCTAGACTTCCAAAATCGTCTGGATCACAGTCTCAGTTCAACCATTTGTGAGTCCTTGGTATAATACACACTTGGTGCCAAGCATGCGCATGCATTTACTCATAGCTTCCCAACCTGGGTACTTCAACCTAGTGTGCCCTGAAAGGGTTATAGGTCTGTGGAGATAGGGAGCCCTCAGCCCTCCAACCACCAGGCAGGGCTTGCAGGAGGCTGGTGCTCCACCTCCAGGTAACTTCTGGCCTCCGGTGTGACCAATGCAACCATTTTTCACATGTGCCAGATAAAAATGTCTTGAAAGCATGCCTTTATTATATTGGATCCTTACGACACCCCATGAGGAAGTACCTTTATTTTCTTTTTTACAGATGAGGAAACTGAGGAGTTGAGGGGCTAAGTGGCCTGACTGTGGTCACTCAACTAGGAAGGGGTAGATTTATACTGGGAGTACTTAGTTTAAAAGCCCACTTTGTGAACAAGCCTTAAGGAAACCAGACTGCTCTCTAACACCAAGTCCAAAACCACTGGCAAAGCCAGTTCTCCCCCAACACACTCACGAGATTGGAGGCTGTCTGCCTAAGTAGGGTGGGGCCTCTTTCAACTACATTGGAGGTGTCCATTTCTATGCCACAGGGTAGACCAGATGGGAAAAAAGGGTTGCGCTAAAACTTTCAGGGGGAAACTCAAGAACTCAGCTGTGTTCTCCTCATTTTCCTCTCTTACCAGAATGGGGCTGTCTACACTGTAGAGACCTGTACTGAGAATATTCAAGCCTGGAGTTTGGGCAAGAAGTCGGAGATGCCTGATTTGATGCTAGAGCAGCTGAGGGTTTGCTGTGGTTTCACTCTTAAACCTGGAGGGCAGGCTGAGCTCATCTGATGCTGAACTGAGATCACCTGATGGTGAGCTCTTCTCGGGAACAGCCCCACAGGCCTGGCTGACCCCCAATCCAAGACTCATTCACCAGGCATCAGATCAAGACCTTTGACACACCCCAAGGAGGAGTTAACCCGTGTGATAGTTTCCTAGTGTTGCTATAATAATGCACCCTAAACTAAGTGGCTTAACCAACCGAAATTTATTCTCTAACAGTTCTGGAGGCCAGACATCCAAGATCAAGGTGTCAGCAGAGTTGGTTCCTTCTTAGGGCCATGAGGAAGAATCTGTTCCATGCCCCTCCCTTGGCTTCTGGTGGTTTGCGGGCAATCTTTGGTGTTCCTTGGTTTGTAGACACATCACCCCCAGCTCTGCCTTAATCTTCACGTGGTATTCTCCCTGTATGCAAGTCTGTGTCCAAATTTCCCCTTTTCATAAGGACACCAGTCATACTGGATTAGGGCCCACTGTAACGCCAATACAACCTCACCTCGTAGATCACGTCGACAACGACCCTATTTCCAATTAAGGTCACGTGCTGATGTATTGGATGCTAGGACTTCAACATATAAATTGGGTGGGGGAAGGACACAATTTAACCCATAACAAAGCTCTTCTCCTAGGACAGTGGTTCTCATGTTTGGGTGAGGGTCAGATCACCATTAAAGAACCCAGGGGCTCAAGCTCTTTGACACAGGATGTATGGAGCCTAAGTGATTTTGATACTCCAAAAATTGTGAGCACTGCTCTCTTGGGAGACTTTTTTTTTTTTTTTAGCTGAGCCATCCTGCTACCTGTTGGCAGCTCAGCGGCTGCTCAGCTCGGGCTGGACTCAAACCGCTGTTGCTCAGAGCNTAATTGACTTTAACAGTAATTTTATTTAATAGAATTAGTATAGGACGGCATGCAAAATTTAAATTAAGGTTTTTTTTGTTTTTGTTTTTTTTAGCTGAGCCATCCTGCTACCTATTGGCAGCTCAGCGGCTGCTCAGCTCGGGCTGGACTCAAACCGCTGTTGCTCAGAGCTCAAACTCTTGAGCGAGCTCTTAACCAACTGAGCCACTCGGCCAGCCCTTGGGAGACTTTTAATTAGGCCTCAGGTGCAGTGGCCTGAGTTGGCTACACATCTCAGATCATCCACAGTCAATAGTCCAGCCAAGACTCATCTCTCATCAGATTTGTCCCTCTGTTCCCGTGCTTACTCTCTCCCCTCCTTCAGTGCCCACTCTCATATGCTAAATAGATGTTAATTATACCTTAATATATTTATGTCACCTTGAAAGTTATTGTGTTCTGTTTTATCTATGTAAGTGTTTTAAAATTAGCTTATGAGTGTGTTCTATGGATATCGTCTTTTTCTGTTTCTATTCTTTTTGGTTTTAAGACCTTTCCATGTGAGTTTCTCTAGGAGTTGCATTGTTGGGTCATCAGGTTTCCACATAACTTAGTTTCACTGCTTTGCCAGATGGCTCTCCAGAATGGCTGTGCCATCTCCACCCCCACCACTTCCCATGTCTCCACAGTCCTGCCATTCGATGGCTGCAAAATTACCGATTATCAGTGAGGATCTTCTAAAATGCTTGTTAGCCATTTTGCTTTTATAATCGTTGCCTACTTTTCTTTGAGTTGCTTGTCTTTTTAAAATTGATTTACAAGAGTTTATTGGATATTAATCCCTTATCAATTTCAGACATTGCAAGTGTCTTTTTTCAACTAGACACCAATATCTTAATTGTCTTTACAGTGCCCTTTGTTGAACAGAAAAGAAAAATTTCCCATATATAGTTCAAAAAGTCTTTCCCTATACAAAAATCTCAATAATATTCTCCTACATCATCTTCTGTTAGTTTGTGGTCACATTTAGGTCTGGATCTATTGGAAGTTCATCTCTGTATATAGTGATTTAGGGGCCATATTTGTTTCCCATTGCTGCTGTAACAACTTACCACAAACTTAGTGACTTAAAGCCATACTAATTTACTGTTTTACAGTTCTGGAGATCAGAAGTCCAAAATTAACCCTATGGGGCTAAATTTGAGGGTCAGCAGGGCTTACTCTTCTAGAGGTACTAGGGAAAATCTGTTTTCTTGCTTTTTCCTGCTCTTAGAGGCTACCCTCATTCTTTGGCCTGTGGTCCCTTCCTCCATTTTTAAAGTACATCACTCCAACCTCAGTTTCCATCATCATCACATCACAGACTCTCCCTCTGACCACAGGTAAGATTCTCCACTTTGAAGAATTCATGTGATTAGATTGAGTCCACCTGGATAGTACAGGAGAATCTCCCCCTCTCACAATTCCGAACTTAATCACATCTATGAAGTCCCATTTGCCATGTAAAATAACATATGTACAGGTTCTCTAGGACATGGACATCTTTGGGGGTCCATTATTCAGCCTCCCACAGGATCTACCTTGATATTTGCTCCATATGATAAGACAGTGTTCCCAACTCTTATCCACCAACAGGACATTTTCCCTGTTGATTTGTGGTGTCACCTGATAAAAGTAAACCAGCATCTTAAGATGATTAACCGTAAAGCTGGGAGGACTATGGGCAGAGCTGGATCCCTTGTTAAAACTCTCTAGTCCTGACTTCCTTTTAAACTTTGTGGTAACTTCTGGGGGAGGGATTAAAATAAATATAGAGGCCATCCTGGGGAGGCTCTCTCTCTCTCTTTGCACATGTGTGGCTGGTTGGAGCTCCAGGCAGAAGTGTGCATTCCCACTTCTGTTGTGGTTTTTGTTTCTTTTTTCTTTTCCGAATAAACTTCCCTTTTGGTGGATTTTCTGGAGAGTTATATTGGCCAGTTGACACACCTCTTCCTGATGCC